ATTTTTCTTCTATTCTTAGATTCTCATTAACCTAAATATACCCGGCTATATTAAATACGGTTGCAATCACACTCAGCTGAACAAAGGCGGGTTGGAATGAGAAATTTTTTTCGTACTCTGCAATTTTTCTCTCTACGTTCCAGTAAATGCAAGTAGAAATTTACTAACCCATTTTTTATGAAGTTGGTACTTTATGAAACATATTCATGACTCCGACATAATCGTGATTTTATTAAATTCTATTAAACAAAAGTGATTATATATAGAGCTTTCTAAAAGTTATATAAAATAAAATCTTGTTAGCTTTTGTATAAAATATACTATGTTGTGTTTAAAAATTTTATTCCATTAAAATTTTCATGCTTTTATACTGTAATTATGTATTTTTAAAAATAATTAAATTGAAATAGGAACATTATTCAAAATTGAACCCAAAATCTGCCTATTTCTTTTATCTTGACAGCTATACATCCTCTGTTATATTACCTTTTTGTTATGCTTTTCTTTATATTTTTACTTTCTTTATTAGACCTTTGTTCAGGTTTATATAAAGTAATAGCTGTATTAAATTTGCATATTTTTAAGAGTAAATAATAATGTTAGAAACAGCGGAAGTTATCCAGCTTTTAGGGAGAAAACACATTCGATTATTTGTCAAGTTTATTGGCATAAAGAGAAAATAAACTAAGAACATAAACTAAATAAAAATATACATATTGTCAATTAGATATTATAATACAAGCGGTAATATTTTTGTTTGTTTATAAAATATTTCTACAGTTTAATCGTCAAATGTGTTTCCTCCCTTCTAAATGTTCGTAAAATAGGCAAGGGTTTAAATGCGAATATTAAACAAGAAGCGCTTATCGGGCCGAGATCCAAAATTAACGTAATTTGCGGTTCTAATGCTGTTTGTCTGTAAATTGTTTGATTAAATCATAATTTTCTTTAAAAATTCCTATTTCCATAGAGTTTTATTTGGGAAGAACGTAATTTTTGAATAATATTACATTTTTAAGACTCCGTCTTGTGCAGGGACTTATTAAACAAATAAATTCAAATGATTGTAATTCATAATCGCTGTCACTTAACAACTGTCAAGTAATAAATTGGTGTCAAAAATGCCACTTGGATGTCAGTGACCCCTACTTGGTTGGTAATGGGTACGCATTTAGTTAAATCACCATGTTCTGTGGCTAGATCTATAGTTACGACTCAGAAGGTCTTTGCCGTATTCAAATTATACTAATGGGGCTTTGTCGAATGTTTGTCTTGTTTGTTAAGATGCCGAGTAGTGTTGCCATGATTAAAAAAATGATTAAAATTGTGGTATTATTATATAGAGAATTTAATTATTATTTTTTTGATCAGTATTGCCATTTAATGTTACTGACCTGGATTATTGATACTCTCGTGTAACTATACGAATAATATTTTTAAAGATAAAAGCACGCAGTAAAACTTAAGTCATGTCTAATAAAAACAGATATTATTTGATTAGTCTATTCCTTATTTTATTTATTTAGCCCAATTAGTTCAAATGATCATTAAATATACGAGACTACAAGTTTTGACGAGTTTTATAATGGTCACAATAGATATAAAACAATTTACTTATAAAATATACCAAAATGTATTCTGGACTTAAAATAACAGTTCAACTAATATAGTTTTAATAAATGTATTTTAAGCAAAAGATAAGCTTATCTAGTACAATGATAATAATTAATTATGAATTTATAGTTATATTATGTATATCTTGTACAAATTTCTATATCAAATCAAAATTTATCACGATGTTATTATTCGCGTCACGTGTCCAGTATCGATCCATAGATAGAAGCTTCTTATCGTCCAAATATTTAATACTATATTTAAACCGCGGTTTCACTCGCGTTTTTGGTAATGTGACTTAACTTTGTGTAAGTAATAGTTTTGTTAGTATTATGAATACTTCCAGTTATAAATACAATTTAACATATATTTGAGAAGTATAAAACGTTTTGACTTTGATGTATTAATACTTTGAGTTTTATGGTCACTACTATTTGTTGTTTGACACGAATATGTATTGTTGACTTTGATAAACTTTATAATATAAATAATATGTGACGTCATCTTAATTATATTTAATTATTAATTACTGATACTGTATCAGTAAATATATTATAATAAATGTATTACATCATATAATGAGCTTCCGATGTGTCAATGCTATCAATGCAGTGCTTTAACACAATTTGCTCTATAAATTGCATCGGCGTTTTAATTAATATATGCAGTCTCTCATCTATATTCAAATTAAGTGCTATCCGTACGGGGATTTAATTAAAATGGTCTATATACGTAAATAGTGGCGTAGAATAAAACTATTACCTGTAATTATATTGTGATACTGAATTTTATTGAATTTTTATTAACTGTTTTATCTAGTCTGTTGAATTTAGTTAAAGTTTTGTGCTTTAATGAAGGCCAGAGGTTTAGTTGGAAGTTGTATAATTTAATAGGTCTCTACAACTTTTGAGACGAATCTAGTTAACGCGAGGAGATGAGTTTATCTCAATTCAGATTGGGATAAAAATGTAGGATATATATATTTAGTAGACAAGATATGGAATTATTCGTATTTTTATGTTTTTTTGAGAAATACCCGTATATTGTATACATTGCTAGAACAATTCTAAAGAGCTTAGGATAGCTCGAAAAAAAATGTACCTATACCCTTAACATGGGTTAGTATAGTTAAACTACGCATAGATGAATTTCAGTTTTCTTTTCATAAATATTTGCACATAATAATATCAACATAATAACATGAATGAGATACTTAATACCGTCTGTTTAATGTAATCGTTAAACTCGTGCTAAGCTACTATCTAAAAGTCGAGTAAAACAAAAACTAGAATCACGTAGAGCGAATGTAAGAAAAACATAAGAAAGATAGCAAATTTAAACGAGTGAACCCGCGGGCAAAACCTTGTAATATATAAAGTATCCAGGTTTTAAATAAAGGAAAGTAATAATCAACTACGCTTCGCTTTGTTTGGTACAGTAATTACCGTCCCGTGAAAAACATGTGATATTTAAAATGTTGCATTAAAACTATGCATTATAAATAATATGATAAGAATAAAAAATATAAAAAAACTTCTTAAGATTGATATTAGAGTCTATTCTTTGATCTTCAAAAAACTGCATTGATTTGGGAACAATTAAAAAAATATATATATAGTGCAAATTCCAGTAACTGGAATTGAATAATTCGGCGTATCTCTAATACAAGTAGAGGAAGATTAAACATTTATATTTTTTTGTATTTTATTGAGTTGTTAGGTCATTTTTACACGGTGAGTAATAATTTTTTGGACTATTATGATGGCTACGCATGAAAAACAATACAAAATCCCCGAGGATATTTGTGCGTCGGCCTCCAGACTAGACATATTTATGTATTCGCGAATTTTAAAGTGCGTTATGATAATAGAAGTTACGGTTCCTTGGGAAACCAACATCCCCAAAGACCATACCATCAACGCTAATAAATATTAGCTAACTAGCGAACTCAATCGAAATAGGTTCGTCATGGATTTATACGCAGTAGAAGTGGGAAAAAGAGGTGTAACAGTTAAATCTCTCTATAACCTTATAAAAGACTTGGGCCTGTCCAGAAATACATTCTTTGGAACATACATCGAAGGCAGCCCTAGTAGGTTTTTTTCAAATTTGGTTAGGTAGAGAGAGGAGCTTGAACATTGGAGGTGAGCATTGAAGGCGCTTTAGATAGGCGCCCTTAAACCTACACCTGGGTCGCAAGTCCCAGGGACTGTTGAAGCTCCTCTCCCTGCAACGCGATGGACCCGGCACCCGCACGGTGAATCCATGGAATGTTAAGAGGTTTCGTCTCTAAGTTTTTTTTTTTTTTTTTTTTTTTTTTTTTTTTTTTTTTTTTTTTTTTTTTGATGACGTAGTGGAAACTCTTTTTACGAGCCGTCCAACCGGCCTTGGTGGGGCCGGAAGGGATGTGTGAGGCTCGGCCTGGGCAGGCCCCTACTCACTAAAACCACTGCGAAAGCCATCGGCCGCTATGTCGGTGTACCCCGGATCTGTCAGCGACAGGGCACACCAGCGACTGGCCGGTCCTGGCAAAGACCGGACTTACTCCCTCGGAGAATGGGGGCGATCCCGGCAATTAGGACCACCCCGACGACGCCGGGCTTTCAAAAGGGCCGGGTTACCACGCCGACCCCAGCCCGGAACACGGGGGTGCTATTGGAGGCGTAGGAATTGCCTCCGACGCACCCCCGTACGTCGCCTGCGGGGGGAGGGAGCATCAGCCGCCCTCTCCCTTTCCCGCTGAGATGCCTCCTTCGTGGACATGACCGTCTCACAGAAGGAGGACACCGCCAACCAGGACCCATCACTCTCGAGCATCTTCTCCACGACACTCGAAAGCGACAGGTCCACTCCGCCGAGAGCCGCCACAAGGTCTTGGCGCTGCGCAGCCCATCTCGGGCACACCTCGAGGGTGTGCTGGGCCGAGTCCACCGCAGCGCCGCACTCATGGCAGCCTTCTCCCGGCTCTCTCCTGGCCGTCCGACACAGGTAGTAACCAAAGCACCCGTGCCCGGTTAAGACCTGCGTCAGACGGAAAGTGAGGGGTTTGCGTTTCCGCCTCATCCAACGCTCTAGGACCGGGCGAAGCGCTGCCTTTGTACGTCTACCGTACGGCTGCTCCGCCAGGTCCTCCCCCCACTCCCGCATAAGGCGCTCCTCCCCCTGCCGACGAACCGCTCGGATCTCCTCCGACGAAGGGTTCTCGCCGAGTGTCCTCCTACCCGAGACATAGGAGAACAACTCAGCTCGAACCGACGCCACGAGATCCCAAGGCGGATCGCCGGCAAGGGCAGTCGCTGCGGCCCAGGAGACCGTACGGTACCCCCTAATCACCCTCACCGCAGGAGCCCTTTGCGCAGAGCGCAGCAGGGCTTTGGTCCTGCGGCTCATTGGGCGATCAGCCCAAACGGGAGCCCAGAGTATAGCCGCCTGCAAGCTGCGCTGGGTCCTCCGAGGTTCGGGAGGAATTTTCCCAGCGCACCTGCCGTCCTCACGACCTTCGGCCCCAGTTCCTTGAAATGAGGCACGAAGGTCCACCCTCCGTCAAGAGTGAGCCCCAGATATTTCATGGTGGGACTCACCCTGACCCTCCCTCCTCCAATGAGGAGGGTGGCACCCGGCGGGGGTCCTTTCCGCCCAGTCCCGCGGAAGAGGAGAGCTTCGGTCTTGTCTATTCTCACCCGAAGCCCCAACCTCTCTATGCGGCTGATCACGAGGTCAGTTCCGACCTCGGCCAGCCGCGCCGCCTCCCTGTAGTTTCGTCCCCGGGATAAGACGAGGGTGTCATCGGCGTAGCAGATGACCCCTGTGGCACGCCGTTTTCGACTGTCCACCACTCTATGGACCCCCTCCGGCTCTCGACTGCCACCCTCCTCTGGGAGAGGTAGCTGTTTATCAGCCTCCTCAGATACAGGGGCACTCCGAAATACTCGAGTGCCACCTGTATCGCGCTGTGTGGGAGGCTGTTAAACGCGTTTGCGATGTCCAACGACACCGCAACCACTACCTCTCCTCTGCGTTCCGCCTCTTCCGTCACCGCCCTCAGGCGTTTGAGAGCATCGACGGTCGACCGATGGGCTCGGAACCCAAACTGAAACTCTGACAGTCCCGGGCCCGAGCCTTCCTCCAGATGCCGAACGAGACGGGTGGCCATTATTTTCTCCAGGGCCTTCCCCGCCTCGTTCAGCACAACCACCGGTCGCCACGCCGAAGCCGAGTCCGGAGGCCGGTTGCCTTTTGGAAGAAGGCAAAGCCGGCCTTCCTTCCAGGCCCTCGGGAACTGCCCGGACCTCAGACAGAGGTCGAACAGCTCCTTGAGGGCTCCACCGAGGTGCACCAGGGAGAGAGCGAGAACTCTCCCGTGCACCCCGTCCGGACCCGGTGCGCTCTTCTTACTCTGGAGGCGAGCCAGAATCGCCTCCATTTCAGACTCCGTGACGGTGGGCGGAACGCGGTCGCCCTCTTCCAGCGTCAGCCGGGCCATTCTGGGGGGAGTAAAACCCGCTGGAGCGTCGGGGAAGAGTTCCCCGACGATCCCCCTCAGAACAGCCGGCTGGAGCACCTCCGTGATGGGGGCCGACTGGGCGCAGAGTTTGTTCCGCGCCCGCTTGTACGGTCGGCCCCAAGGGTCTCGATCGAGACCCTCCACCAGCTCCAACCAGGCTGCCTCCTTGGCCCGGCGGATGGCCTGCTGCAGGATCAACTTCTTCTCCACATAGATCCTGTACAGCCGACCATCTCGCTCCTCGTCCTGGGGGCGGCGTCGCCTACTCCGGGTGTATGCCCTCCTGGCCCCGTTGCAGGCGACCCGGAGATCTGAGATATTCTCAGACCACCAGTATACCGCTCCCCGCGGAGGGGGACGTCCTACGGGGGGCATCGCCGCTCGGCAGACGTTTTGAAGAACGTCCCCAAAGCGGCTAGCCCCTTCATCCACCCCTAACTCCGCACCCTCCGGGAGACTCCAGCGACCGACGACGGCCGCTTCTTTAGCCAGTTCCCGGTTGAGCTTTGACAGCGCCCAACGCGGGAACCGACTTCTCTCCCGAGGCGACGAGGAATTCGACACTGGACTCCGGCGACCGGCAGGAGTAGGAGACACTTCGAACCGTATGTAACGGTGGTCCGAAAGCGTCTCCACTCCTGCCTCAACCCTCCATCCCTCCACTCTGCGTGCGATGGTCGGAGTGGCGAACGAGACGTCCACCACTGAACCTCCCAACCGTCGCACGCACGTCTGGACCGTCCCCGAATTTAGAAGGGACAGTCCGGCAGTCAGCGCCCATGCCTCCAGCTCCCTCCCTTTCGGTGTTGTGCGGGGGTTTCCCCACGCCGTGGACTTGGCGTTGAGGTCCCCCAGCACAAACACCTGGAGAGGCGCTAACTGCCCTACCACCGGCCCGAGAGAGTCGAGAAATCTCTCGAAGGCCGGCAGGTCGCGGTTCGGGGAGAAATATACCCCGACGATGGCAACCTCCCCCCGAACCGCCGCCACATACCCGTGGCCCCTCGCTTTGACGGCGAGGGGGGGCCCGGCTCCCGGCCGCGTGACGATCGCAACTAAGCCGTCCACGTCTCCCGCCCAATGAGGTTGGGCAGGGACACAGTACGGCTCCGCTATGACCGCCACGTCTACGGCCCACTCCGCCATGGACTGCAGGAAAAGATCCTGAGCCCCGGCGCAGTGGTTGCCGTTGGCCTGCAGGAACCTGAGATGTCCGGCCATTATTCGGACATCTCAGCTCCTGACGCCGGCCTCGAAACCCCCGCCCTTTTAGGCTGGTCGGGGAGTTTCCCACGGGTGGATGGAGGACGGCACGAATGGCCCCCCATCACATGGTCCGCCGGTTTACTCGCGTCCGCACACACAGCGCAGCGCGGTGACGCGATGCATTGGGCGGACTTGTGGCCCTCCTTGCCGCAGCGGTAGCACAGGCCGCTGCGATCATTTGGACTGGGGCATGCGGCCGCAACGTGCCCCATTCCCAAGCACTTGAAGCAGTGCTTGGGTCGTGCCTCCATGTATGAGAGCCGCACTTGGCTCCACCCCACCGATATATTTCCCAGCTGCAGCAGCTTTTTGGCCGCCACAGCTGGCACCTCTATCAGGGCAGAGCCTGTGCCTCGAAGCCCAGGGCGCACGTTGCGCACCCTGACCTGGGCCTCGGTGCAGCCCCCCTCCTGCGCGACCGCGGCTATTAGCCGGTCCGCGGTTGTCGCGTCGTTGAGGCCCGTGACCCTCAGGTCAGAATATTTCACGGGCCTCGTAACCTCCACCTCCTCTGCCAGTGTGGACTTCAGCTTCGCGGCCAAAGCGTCGGCTTTGTCCGCACTGGTGGAGCCGGGCACCTCGATGATCCGGGCCCCCGTTGCCGTAGCACGGATCTTCAGGGGCCCTATTCCCAGCTCCTTTCGGTCCACCTCTTTCTCAGCTTTGAGGAGGACCGACAAATATGATGCCCCTCGGGCCGCTGCCTCAGGCCGTAATTTGATGATTACGGCTTGGGAGCGCGGGAGCATCACCTTCTTGGGGCCCTCTTTAGGGCCCGCCTCCTTCTGCTGTGGCGCCGGTTTCTTTGGAACCGACACCACCTCCTTCTTCTTGGGGGCCTTGCGGCGGACCACCTCCGTCCACCCCGCCGCGCTGGCCCCGGCGCCACCACCGCTGGTGGAAGGACCGAAGGCGGTCCAGGCTACCTCCTTCCCTCCCTTGGACCTCTTAGTCTTCCCTTTGGAAGACGCAGGGAGGGAAGGGAAGTCCTCCCCGGACAATACGACCGGTGCCGATGGCGCCGGTGAAGGGTCCGCTGATTTGGCCCCTTTTTGGAGGGCCACCTGGCGGATCGCCCTCTTAGCGGCTATAGCCACGGCCGACTTGTCACCCGCCAGGGGGCGGGCGGGAAACCTCTTCTCCACGAAGCCGGGACTCAAGCGCTGCAAGACGTCCATCGACTAGGTTGCCCACCAACCTAGCGATGTTGGACTCCAGCACTTGTATCTGGTCCCGGCCAATCGAGCCCTCAGACGCCGCCTTCATTTCGGAAGCCCTCTCCTTCCGCATCTCCTCGAACTGCGTCCGGTGAGCGCGCACTTCCTCCCTCAGACCCGCATTCTCCCTTTCGAGCCGACCGATGTCAGCTCTAAGACGGCGGGTCTCGTCCGCTTCTGTGCGCGTCACCAGGACGTCGAGCACCTCCCTCAAGAAGGCGGAGGCCTTCATAATTTTGGAAGAGTACCCCCCTTTAAGGTTGGTACTCTTCCCCACCAAGTCCTTAATCAGGTTGAGGCTTTTCTCCGCCTCAACCACGATTGCCTCCGCCCCCATCGTCTCCAGTTCCGGAGGGACCTCCTTTTCCTTCCCTTTCCCTTTTCCCTTTTCTTTCGCCAACTTCTTCTCCATACAGGAGTCGAAGGCAGCCTCCGAATCCTCCTCCTCCCGCTGGCGCAAGAACTTCCTGGCTCTAGCCAGGTGTCTACCTCGCCCTCGCCTCCCTACCAGCTCCAACCCTCGAGACATCCCGACCCCAGTCTCGGTATCGGAGCCAGACATCTCCGAAAAGAGACGTTTGGCCCCTAACGCCGACTCCGGACGAGACGACATCGAGTCGTCCAAATTACCCGTTTCCCCCCCCCGGGGCAGCCCCCCCCCCCCATCATATTCCCTATCTCCCATTCCCTACCTCCCAACCAGAACACAAAACCAGGTTAGGTTAGGTTAGGTTAGGTTAGGTTCGCTTATGTTAGCTTAGGTTAGGTTAATTAGTTTAGCAGGCGGCTCTCGATATGGCATACCCAAATCACTAATCACTCCAATAATAATCAATGCAAACGTCCGATCCCTACGGCGGCTCGAACGCGACTGATGTCGTCTCTAAGTATGGTATAGCCATACTGAATTATAAATTCTTTATCATAATCATTACAGTATTTGATAACTTACCATTGTTCTCCTAAATAATTTTATGTAAACGAATTTAATTCATTATCTATTTTAGTAAAAGATTTATACTACCCGCCTTACAGAATATAAACGTTATTGTTTTTGTGTAATTAATTTATATCTTATAACAAAAGATAATTAAAATTTATTGCTAAAGAACCTCTAATTGTGTTATATAAAGTGAATTATTAGAATGGATTACAGATAAAAAAATACTTAGAAACATTTTAGCGAGACCCACATCTTAATTCAATCAAATTGAATTGTAAGTACAATCAAATTATAAAGTAGATGAGGAGTTCATAATTCGTTTTTAACTTAATATAACACGAGTTTAATTTGTTGGAAACACGCTTCTGTTGTATACATAATGTGATTCGCGCCCATCCAATAGCAATTTGTAATAATTGAAACTCAAGCAACGCTTGTATTGTGTTGGCCCCTTCTTAATAGTGCGAAATAAATTAGGTCAGGATAGCGCATATGTCGTTCTGTACGACAAATGTTTTATATGTAACCATTTATTGAAATACGAGTTCGTTAATACTAAATTCGTTACTAAGATTAAATAAGACTTTAATGCTTTTTAAAACACATGTTACTGAAATATAATTTATGTGCACATAATTGTCACAGTAGCGACTAGCGAGTAGTTTTGAAACAATCCCACGACTTGCTTCTATAATATACTGACATTCTAATATAATTTTTATTATAATCATAGATGACTTTGGAGTAATTAAATTTAATTTGTAAGAGACGGGCTGTCAATCTATATATTTTATTGTTTGCTTACATCAAATATATTAAACAATTACCTACAGATAGACGTCTCAGAGAAAACTTGATTCAATACATAAGTACGATTTAAATCACTCGTAACGTCTTTAAGGCTATGAATATAAATTTTATTGCTTTACAAATTCTATTAAAATAGACGAGAATTGTTGAGCATTCGCCAAATGCGAGATTTATTTAGCTCTGCACTCTCCCCTTACAAATAGCGTGTTTAATTTACAACGTGTGAAATGTATGAATGTATGAATGGACGTTCGCGTCAAATACAATTTTTCAAATCCCCGTTTAATCTCCTATAACTGTTGCTTTGTCGGTACCACACGGCGTCTTACAAAGCTGTCGTCACTCAACAATCAGATATTTGATGACATATTTAATTTCACGTGAACCAAGGCGTGTACATTCGTGAAATAACAATAGTTCTATTTTATTTGAGCTACGTATTGTGGATCGACTATTGAAATTCGATACCATCGGGTCGTTAGTCGTTGATTTGCATCGATATAATAGATTTATTCACTTTGAGAATATATTATACTTAAACGTTCAACTAAACTAACACGTCTTTATTAGTAAAAATATTGCATATAATATTAAACTATAATATAAGTGAGATCGATGGTGCACTATATCTTGTTTATTGTCAGTACTGCGTCAGCAATTTGCCGAAACCCATATCGCTCGTAAAAAGTTTCTACCACTTAGCTCTCTGACAGACAGAAATGATTATTTCTGAATATTGTTAGAATATACAATGAATTTATGAATAAGTGTCAGTACAGAAGACTTTAATCTGCTTAACCTTGCCATCTGCTTGAGGGATTAAAAGATTAAAATATTATACGGGTCTTCTATAATACTTATAAGTAACAAAGTTGTTATATTTAGAACAAATTATTTATGAAATTAAATTCAATGAAAGAAAATTTTTTCTAGGATGTATCAAGAAGAGCAAAGTTGAAGAAAATTCTATATTAAATATGAAGGGTGTAAAAATAAATGTGCCGATATCAAGTTTGTGGGAGGCGTCCCATGCTTAGCATACAACGTACATTGTGGACATTTCACAACCACTATACAGTATTGATATGAATCATTTGCACGAGTGTGAGGGAAATGAAATTTTTTGAATATTTTTACTCGTGTTCATGAATATACAGGGTGACTTGTGAATTACTATCAATATTTAAGGAGAATACTCGGTACATGATTCTCATTCGAATTATGTAAAAAAAATAGGTACTTAATTTTTGACCAAATTTCCGTATAAATAAATAATGTGTGGACCCGTTCCAAGTGTTCCAAGTGTGGACGCGCGCGGCGGCGTGCTGATACAACACCACGCCGCGTACGCGTATGTGTGTGTGTGTGTATACCTAATCTGTAGGGTGTTCACACGATGCGTAATTAATTACACAACTTTTGGTTAACTGTACTCAGAAGTTTATTAATATTTATGTTATATTAATTTTTATTTTGTCATATATGATCGTCAAATATCACGTCCTCAAATATCGATAGTAATTCACCAGTTACCCTGTATATTAATGTGAAAATTTACTCAAAATAACTGATTTCTGACTGGTACTTTAAAATATATGTTTTATAACTATCAAATAACGATTTGAGAAAGTTATCGTTGTTAAAATATATTATATTGTTTTCTCTAGTAATATTAATATTTAGAGACCGTTCCTGTTTTAACGCATTATCATTTTTATGAATGCTAATATAAATTCGCGTAACTCGATGGAAAGGGTTGATAACAAAAGGTGATAAGGGACGCAACAAAATTAACCGTAATTTTTTCAAGATTATTTAGGAGAAATATTGCGATACAGAGGGATTCCCATTTCCCTTCATACTTTTTTATTTATGGGACTGAGAGAAGACGCAAAACCGTCACGAGACTCGACCCTAGTAAATCATGGGGTCGTTAATTGTGAAAAATAATATTTTTTTTCTCGTAAACTCCAAAGCGACTTAAAATTTTTGCTGTGAAAAGAATTTCAATGCTTTTAATGAACTGTTTCTTGGGGTGTTTTTGAGATTAATTGGTAATAATATCCTCGGTTTTAGTATTATTATTTTAAAAGGGTCTACGCACTTTGTTCAGAGTGAGTAAATGATTAGGTTATGAAAATGTACGGAATATTATTTTACATTTGCAGATATTAATAAAGAATTACACTAAAAAAACTAGTCAACTATACCAAATATACTTTAATGATGTTCAATATCTTTAAGCAATAAGTAACATTATTCTTTAAGACCAAAATTAAGGTTTTCGTATTTCATATGTCAGTACTTCAATGATTGGTAAGAAAACACATAAGATTAATATATAGCATTTATATATATGTTAAGGAACTTCGTTCGGATTTTTAAAAATAAAATAACAGTAAGACATTTGACAATTTGACTATGCGATATTAATTAAAATGAACAAATATAAAAGGTAAATAAAGGATTGAAATGATAACCTGCTAACTCCAGTTAAACAACAATTAAAGTACTTACAGAGTAATATCCTTAAAATAGCCTTAGACTAATTGCTAAACCAATATTAATAGTCGAAAACCCATGAGCGATGTTGCCTCGACGACGGACCACCAGAAAGTGCCGATGTTTCTTTTTGCGCACTGCTTCTATTTTGTTTCTTTTCCAAGGAGTTCCTAACTCGGCTTCTATTTTGTTTCTTGACCAAGGAGTTTCCTAACTCGGCCTCTCCTGACTCTTGGTCGTCCTCGGCCACATTCTCTCTGTTTTTCAGTAGTAGCCTCGCCTACTGCGCCACCTTCCCGATCTTCGTCTTCAAGGTTTGGCATAGACGATCCGGCCGAAGCACCTTTAACATTGTCATCCTGAATTTTGAAATAACATCACCATTACTATCGGAAACATTATTGTTTGCATGAGTGTAGTATCCAAATGGTTTTCAAATAAACAAAGTAATGTAAGCTAAACGGCATCCAAGACAGATAAAGTGAAAATAAAGAAAAAGGTGTGAAATCGACGGTATCCCAACAATTTCACATCCCCACAGTACATTACCATTGTCGGGTGACTCACGCCTTTGAAGGGCTACCAACACCATAGAAGTGCAGCTCATGCCAATGCGACTCACGCAATCGGCAACTTCCATCACTGGCGGCTCCCGTCAGTGGCGACTCCCGTCAGTGGCGACCAACGCTGATGGCGGCTGATGCAA